AAATGAGTTCAGTGAATATTGAATCAGGAATCACCCAATGACCTTGATATATTCTTGCCTGCATATGCTGCTTGTTCACCAGTTAGCCCCTTACCGTATGCATCCATAAAATGGAAGGAATGCATCACAAAGCTGTGTGTCAAAATTCTATTTGAATCTCAGTGCGGATTAAGCATGGACGGACTACCACTGCAAGCATACAAAACATGCCGCAAAGGGTACATACAATTTCTCTTCTGATCCTGCTTTTTTTAGGAACCTTCTTTTGATAAACCTCGCCCAGGTTCTGCAGAGATCGGCGTTTTTTTTTCGCTTTTTCTGGGGCATTTTGAAATTGTTTTTTCTCTGCAGAGGACTGCGCATGATTACAGCACTTGCTTAGTCATCACATCTAAGTGCAATCCACGCAACTTTGTTTCTTCTTCTCCTCCTTGCAGTCTTCAAAAATAAGAAATCTCACTCAAACAGTTTGTGCATATAATGGTAAAGAAAAAATTGTTTGAAGCAGATTTCTATTATATACTCTAATGAAAGAGGAGATGTTGATTTCAATGCTTTCGCCCGCCAAAAAGGGTGTAAGCGTGACAGTAGATGATCACGTGATGGACCACGATATGAATGAGGCCTATCTTACGATGCCACCGAGTAAGGAGAAGCTCGCATTCTACATACCCCAGCCGACAAGCCGTGCATAGAGGACAACGGCTGAACATGCAGGATTATCAGTGCGCATTATCCCCTTGAATCCACCAGTGCCAAATTCTCATAAAGCTGAGTGTTCCATCTTCGAACGTCAAAAGAAGGGACGCCACCATCTTGTTGAGAATACGTGCATAGCGACTATCTAAACTTGATGCATGCTACCTAGAACTTATTCTAATTCTTGAGATGGCTAGCAGGGCTGCACAGCGTCATCAAGTAAGAAGCAAAGATAGAAGCGGCGACACTGTGCATTTCCGGCCGCCTCCGTGAGACCAAACATTGATGAGACTTGGTTCAGGAAGGCTGACAACGAGGCGTGAACAAGGCGATACTCAACCATAAGCCACATAAGACGAAGCGCGCGGAGGAGGCTATTTTAGCGAAGAATGTGCAAACTAGGCAGATTTGCACGAGAATCATTTTTTGCGGGATAATAATCGCAAAGTGCAGTTCTTGCAGTGGGCTTGAGAACGCCAAAACGATGGCTTCGAGGCATCGTATCACTAGTGTTGCGCACAAAATGTCGACAAAGGAGAGATGCATGACGAACACTCATACCATAGGCCACTCACATGTCTGGAAGGCCTTGAACACGCTGCAGCTCCCGGTGAAGTGTGATCCGTGCAACACACGGGGATAGTTATGAGGGTTACGCTATATGTTCGTGTCCGCAAGCAAGAGAGCGTTACGACGACCGCATGATTGAAAATAGACGTGGATTACCACAAGTTTAAGATGCCAAATACACTCACGAAACCCGTTGCACATGCCAAATTCCGAAATCCACCACATTCAATATGTCGAACGTGAAGCAAAGCTCCAGAGAGTGCTGTTGGCGTAATGTGCAACAATGTTCGTCAAAACATATCCATATGATTCATTCAGCTGTGACATAATAAAAGGCCGCGTTGACTATCCACAGTAGAATTTTGCTCAGAATTCCATCCCCGGGCGAATCCTGGATGAAGCTGACGTCCTTGTCCCACAAGCCCACGAATATGAAAAGAGATAATACACCCATCACGTAGGCTTGCACCGACTTCTATGTAAGGGCCACGCACCCGAGCAGCGTCACGGCGGAACCTACCGAACTCGTGTGACAGAATTCCACGTTCGACAGATTGAGATGGAGGCTCCTAAGCCAACCAGAGATCGTTTAAAGCGCAGTGATGGGATGCTTTGCTAAGTGTTCAAACATCACATCGGAGATGTCGCTGTTGGGTGAGAGCGAGCTCGATATTTACAGACAGAGGCATTCAAAAGCTTGAACGAGTATTTCATTGGATTCCAGAGCTCGCAGTGAGAGATTATCCAGCAGCGTGGAGGTGTTGGTGAAAGAGCGTGAGCACGTAGAGGAAGGCAAGCTCACTCGGATATTACCGATCTCAGCTGAAATACCATAGTTTTGGGTACCACCACCGTCTTTGCCAACCTATCCTCCTCCTCCTCCTCCTCCTCCTCCTCCTCCCCTTCCTCTTCCTCGAGCTGCCTTTCCCTGCTCCATCTTTACTGCATCTACATTAGCTCCTGAACAATCTTATATTCTGAATAGCCCCAGTCATTCCCTCTAGCGACCAGCCGCCATGTTACTGATGATTTACGAGATGTGCCACTACTTGCGCTCTGCACGCCCGCGACTCATGCAGTGCAGGTACTCAACTGGCTTCAATTTTTGGATAGGTTCGGCTGCCGCACAACTACCTTGCTGTCAACACGAGGTCATAGGACTCTATGCCCCCGAACGCGAGGTAGTTTCTTTACTTTGTCATCTCGCTCGTTCTCGTTCAGCGCTGTCTAGGATTTTCACATACCCTCAGCCGCGGAATGGCAGCGTCTCGCACATCCTTGCAATGCGACGACATTCTTTTCGAGATATTCCAGAATTTACATCCGCCAAATGTTCAATATGGCACCCCCGGAAGCTCCAAGATCGAGGCTCGTAAAACGCTAGCACGTTGTGCTCGCGTCTGCAAAGCGTTCCTGCCCTACGCTCTGGACCATTTGTGGTGGGAGATTGACAGTATCAGCGTTGCGCTGAAGGTCCTACCCGTCTTGTGCGTTACCTCCGCGAAGGAAGTTCTCATAGAAAACACAGGGGAATGGGTATATATAGAACTACCTTCACCCTCTGTTCTTGTTCGCCGGCCGATAGCTCAAGCTCAACTTCCGATGGACAATATTCTTCCGCATGAGCTAATTCGATATCGCCTGTACGCCGCTCGAGTACACAAGCTGCATGTGTCCAGTGAGGTTTGGGACGATGTTTTGCCACGCATCAAACACGTTACCAGACTACTTGGCGGACCTCTCTTTCCGTCTATTGAAGAACTAGAATACTCCAGTCTTGACCCGATCATTCACCTTACGACAATTTTTCCCTACATCGCAGCGACAGGATCATCTCTTTCTTGCTTGTCTGTGAGGACATCACGCGTAACACGATTCTTCTGGGAAGCTATGCAGGATTTGGATGTTTTACAGCCAATTATCCCCGCTTGCTCAGGGATACACCAGCTTTCTTTGAATGGCCATTGGCACTCATCGTCTGCGGCTTCATTCATTGGTGCATTCATCCACTTGAAGACCATTCAATTTGTAGGTTCCGTTGACAGTGCCCTGATGCGCACATTTGCTACACTCCCTGACCTCGCAGAACTACACATTCGAGTCGAAAGAGTTGAGACTGAAGCGAGAACGAGCAAATTTCGCTCCCTGCGCAAGTTTCAGCTGGAGGGGACCCATTTTGCTACGCTCAACCGCTTTGTTGAGTTGTGCGAGTGTCCAGACGTTCAGTCATTCCGTGTGCGTATCATCACGGAGCCGATATCATTCGTCCCATGGATATTATTCCCCTGGGCTTTCCTGCCACTGTTGTTGACGACGATAGCGTCAAAAGTCTCAAGATCTCTGCGCTCCCTAGACGTAGAGGCTGCTCTCCCTGTGGGCACTACAATGGTGACGCTGGCGAGCATTCTCTCTCCATTACGTGCCATCCGGACTCTACAATCCATCAAACTCAACACAACACCTCCCTTCACGACCAACTATAACTGGGTTGTGGGTCCGCTTCACGAGATTGCGCTCGGATGGCCAGGACTGAAGGAATTTCAAGTTCACGGAGGAACCCTACCTAACGCTCTTCAGGTCATCTTTGATCTCGTGTCTGTCTGTCCTCGCCTCCGCATCATCATCCTTCCCAAGGTCATCCTATCTCCTCCCTCCGAGCTGAACACTTATGGGCTCTCGCGACACTCGTTACGCGTGATCTACGTCGGGTACAGCTTCGCCAAATCGAGGAAAGAGGCTCGGCAGGTTGCGAGTCTGCTTAATCCCGTGTTCCCGGACCTGGATGTGAGCGGTTGTGAGGAACTCGAGCGGGCGGGAAAGGAGGCATTGTCAACACGTAGAATGACCGTGTGGGAACATGTGTTGGAAGAAATGGGTCGTCTTCGACGGAAGAGAGTGCTGGTGAATCATGAGACTGTTGTGTTCAGGCTGAGGAGGAGATAGGATAGTTTTATTATCTACGTCCAGTCGTTCAACGTTCCATCGGAAGGTCGAGTATTTATTGTCGCGAGAGTTCAGGGTCTACCGAAGGTGATCAGGCAATGGGATACCTGGGAAGCATTAAAAGTATTGTTCCCACTGTCTGCAGTATGATCTGCAGTATGATCGCAATCGTCCTTAATAATATCATGTACCGGAGCATATTCTTGAAGGGTTGCCTACGGAAATGAACATTTTGTAGTACTTCATGGATGTAGCGAGACTATCCCTTGACTATGGGACCCCTGCTTTCATTCCAATCGACTCTTTGTCATACAACTCATGCTCTCTTGCGTAGCGCATCCGAGTCTGCGAATGAGCGATGACGCACATGAATGTAAATTGGAAACCTGTCGTTTGTCATTGCTCGCATATAAGCGCAGTGCCACGCTTGGCACTGTTATCTTTCCCTCGTACTGACAACCATCATCCCACTTCAGTCTCGTCCCGGATAAACCACCTGGTCAATATTCCCAGTGGAAAATGACATCAATGGGATCAAGAAACTGTGTCATTCGATGAGAAAAAATGAGATAGACTAAATTGGTATGAATGATCTAATTTGGCTTTCCTCACACACTTCAATGCAACTCATCAAGTTACCCAATTTCGCAATTTCATTAACATATTCCACTGGAGATCAACGGTTGCGTTAGCATTGCAGCCGTGATACATAAACCCATGCAAACAAAATCAAAGACCGTGCCGAACGGCTCCGTGACTATTGTATTTTTTGCGACGAGCTAAAGCGCTTTTATGCCGACAGGCAATTCGAATGAGTTCGGTTTGGCGTATGGTCCGTCGCCTATCCAGGCTCAATACGCATTCGCTGTGATACATTAGGCTCATCCACGCAATTTGCAGACACTCACCTTCGTCCCATCCTGATTCTATCGACATTCCATGGGAGCATGCGGCGCCGGGCGAACGTGTCGGACAGTCTAACTGACGGTGGCGACAAATTTGGACGAGTTGTTTTCGGCTCCCTTTCTTGTCCGAGAGGGCCGAGCCTTATGTAGACAGTAAGTATATTGTGCTCTATCGTGTACGCTGGACTGCATCGTAGCGAAGGCACCGCGCGCCGCCTGTTCGATAGGTGGGCGTCGGTGAGTGAGTTGAGTACACGGTAGAGCCGGGGGTATAGGGTATATATATGGGAGAGAGGGGGGAGGTTCGTGCGGGAGGGGGGGTGTTTGGACGAGTTGAAACGACAGAGAATGACATAATGCAGAACACGCGTAAGCGCAGCCGCACCTCACTGTATCAAATAATTAGGTGTAGCTGTATGGACAATTGGACAACCTACATGAGAGTTTAGAAAATTGATCAAAAACAGCGCTGCTGTAAGCTTGCCGCCAAGTGACTTTGAAGATGCTCACTATAGATTAGTGCAAAGTATGTACGTCCACGCTCGCTTGAAGTATGAGCTTAAGGCTCTTCCAGCTCTCCATCGACAGTGTGCGGCACTGTGGCGAGGCTAGATACTGGCTGAGACACGAAGTGTGCGTCGGACGAAATTGTGAAGGACACATCATGATTCCCAATTAATGCCCCGCGGAGGTTGCGGATACACCTCGATAGCGTGAGGGTGGTCAATCTGTTGCGAAGGTATCAGCTAAAACCGGGGAGTTTTCGGGTGAGGGCCTAAAACAACTGACACCGAAACATAGAGATCCACGTATGTGAAGCCCTAACATAACATGTCGATCAGCAAATCACCCTGGACGGATGCCGGACTTACGTTAGTGACCCAAAATGTTACGTCCAACGTGTTGAGCGCAAAAAGCATCCTACCGACCGTAGGTAAGCCATAGAGCCATATATTGCCACTGGTAAGAGGGGATTGAAAGCGGTCTTACACAAAGTAGAAGGATCCTGAGAAAGAACATCGTCGTCATCGAAGTGAGTTAAGATCATCTGCATATTGCAATTACACACCGTCTCTCAGTAGCAATGACGACAAAGACGCTTTAGCGTGCGTCTGGCGAATAATCTCCTGGATATGATACGTCTTTCTTAAAATGACCAGTAGCACGATAGCGTCAGACATAACAAGGCTTGCTCTTGCAGCGATGGTGACTGCGCAAAGTAATCGTGAGACTAGATGGCTCTGTAAAACAAGAACCTCATACATCTACGCGATCGCAGTAAATCTCAAGTGATATGGCATTAAGGTTAAGACAACAAACCTATTGGATATTGCTATTGGGTCAGTTGTTTGTAGCATACAGCCAGAAAAGGGTGACAGGGTAACTAGCTTGATATTGCAGAAGTGGTACTATGAAGGCGTCAGTGGCAGCACCGAGCCAAGGGAGGGATGACACCTACAATGTCTGAAACTAATGGCACGAGTGCCAACGCAAACACGAGGAGCGATACACACCAATTGCGCTCCGAAATGACATATACGCGAAGTGTCGAAAACACTGTTGGACCGTAAGACGCGCCACGAACATCAGAAGACAGTCTCCAGCGACTTACGTGCGTACATGATATCAAGACACCAGTAGGAGAAAGACATTGGCCATAATATGGAATCGCCGCTAAATTCAATCAGTGTTAGACCACCATCCAGTAGCGCTCGGGGAATGGTTGTCATACTGCTAATAAAAAGTCATTCTAACCCCAAGAAAATCAACTTAATCCTCACTTTGCAATCTGAACCCAACAAAACGAGATTTAGCACAAGGGCCATAATCTGGGCTGAATGAACTGTATGGTAAAGCACAGTCATAAGAGAGAATTTGCGACACCACAGTGTGTCAATTTCGTGGCCAAGGTTTATTATGCGATCGTAGATATACAAGGCTGAATAGTTTATGGAACAGTTTATGGGTTAGATTGATTAGAGCTCATTCGTTGAGATGCTCACCTAGGGCAGAGATGAGGCTGAAAATGGCAGTGGACCTGTCGTGTATGTGACTCTGGGATCAGATAGGAAGATAGTATTCGCAACGACACCATGATTCGTACCGACTCTGCAAAACGGCGAAGTTTGGTGAAATCATGCTTTCCTCCTGTTCTATTGTATCGTTTTAGGAGGCTGAACGATGCAGCAGCTTGAGAATAGTGAGTATACGTCTATACACGGGGAAGATAATACCGCACCATAGTTTTATGGGGGGCGACAAGTGGGCATTGCTCAGTCGTTTATATGCATGAATAAGGTAGGTTCAGACTGCTTCCGAACAATCATAGCGCCCCCCCGTCAACGGTGACTCAACGTACTCAACTCTTAGGGTGAGTTTTGCGGCTAACGAGCGCGCCACTTTCGGCTCGCAGCATCGCAGATGTATCTTCATCTGCAAGTATGCACTTAGCGAGTTCGGGCGGTATGTTCGCATATTGGCCCGGCAAACACTTTTCGATGTGTTGGAAACTGGACCCAATTGAAAAACATACTCAGTGGTGTTCCTCTCTCCGATGCTTAGTTCCTAATATCATTGACTTCTGGAGTTGTAAGCGATGGACTCACGCGAAGCCTTGCCGCCACTGCTGTCTTCACACTCAGTCTCGCATCCCGATACCCATCTCGTCCGCATGTGTGCGCGTAAGTAGCAGAAAGTGCTCTGAAGGCCATTCCAACTGAGAAGCGCACCGAGCGACGTCCCACAGCATCATCCGATATGGTCAACTTGAATGCGAATGAATTAATTGAAAATGCCACTGAAGACACGTACGACGATCCGTCCAAGGCGTGATTCTCCATCTCTTGGAATCACTGTCGTTACTATTGAAAAGGCCGACACGGAAATTCTGAGCGTACTGACTCGGAATCGGAGATACGTCCTTAAACACTACTATGTATAGGCAAGGCGCATGGGTGTCAATAGAAAGCGTGGCGGATTTCCCACAATAGATGTAATGGATGTACTATCCCTTACACCGGTAACCCCGGAGCAGTGGGTCTGGACCTGGTTGCGTTCCTCTCATATTTGAAACATGGGTTTTATATTGTTGCCAATGCAACCAAGCATACTAGTCATCAATATTGAAAAGTATTGGCGAGTTTCCAATTTGTAAGACTCGCCTGCTCTGAAGATAATTTACAAGTTTGTGAATACTATATGCCTAATATATGTATAAAATCTGTTGAAGAATATCCGGTTGGAGCTTACTCGGCTACTTTCGCCACAAAAAAAATCCATTTGCGACGTAATTTAAATTCGGCTGTCCCAAATGGTCCCGTGTCTGCAGTGTCACTGTCCGTTCGGCACCTTAGTCATGCAGAGCTCAAGTCTAGTCCCCTTCCCATTCATCGTGTCGGAGCCGTCGTTGTATGTACACGTCGTTGCATGCACACGTCGGACATATTGCTACAGCTGTTTATCAAACGATGGGTCCCAACTGAAAAGAAATGGGAAATAGACCAGGCGCAATTAAACGTCTAATCCAGGGGGGAAAACTTGTCTCTCGCGAGTAGACTTCTTCATTGAGACCTATGGGAGGAAGATAGACGGTCTCCGTATATGATTGCGTCGTATGGTGTAAGCCATTGGTCCGCCCACGGATGAAATTGTTCACAAAGTACCAACGCCTGGTCCACAGCTGCAGTAGTAATAATCATTAGCCTTCATGCTAGAACCAAGTCGGCGGAAATGAATCATAATCTGCGAGGTAGCGATTAAAACAGAATTAATTCTACATCAATATTGGAGAGAATAAGCATAACTTAGGCACATACGCTGCCCGATCGTCCTTCTGAGGTTTCATGTGAGCCTTCAACCCCTTTTCGTGTACATACCGTGGGCTGGACATATACGAATCAGATTGCATTTTTACTACAGCAATCCAGACAACGTACTCTGGTTGTAAATGAGATCTGCATCTGAAGGCGCTGATCGGGGTAGAGCGCGAGTAGTGGATGCAACAGCGAAGTGCCATTGCTGACAGAACGACACAACACCCGCCTTTGACCTTTCACGAGACGTCCTTCATTGCGCAGCCTATCATACTCACCTTTTTTTGGCTCCGTATTTGCATTCGTTGCAAAGTTCATCCCTATGCCGGATTGTAGCTGTCGCGGGGCCGTATCGTAATAGTGCATCTCTAGGGATTATCTTCACTTCCAATGGAGGACTGCGGCGACAGGCACTGACCCATTGCACTTCTAGTAGGCACATAGTGCCTCCATGTTGATAGTGTAGCCGAGGAAGAATGGGGGAGCCTGGCACAGCTCATGAGACACAGTCACGGGAAGGTCCAGGGCTTACATGCAGAGAGAATATGTCCGCAAAAACTGGACACTACATTTGCTTCATGCGATTCGATCTCAAGTTGTTCATACCTGGTTTATACGGACGCAATCTTGCCGACTGACAATAGCCGAAACTGGAATGAAAAATATCTACGATAGTAAGCGTGAGCATCTCGCTGAACCCACACTGTTAAACCTCACTTGAACACTGTGCTCGAGACCGAGAAATCCCTGTGGACAAAGATAAAGACTGCTGATACATGCATACTGGTGGAATGTCACTACTTACGTGAATGTTATATTATGCCGGAAGACTGTTCGCTACACGCTGACCTTTTCCCCGTAGGACGAAGAGTCGGCGTTCACAGAGATGCTCAAAAACTTGAATCAGCAGCACAATGGTAGAGAACAAGCGCTCCGAGAGAGGGGGACCCGTGGGCGCGCATCGCTGATGGTTTCGCTCTCGTCGTTTCAGGTAATAACATCCATATGGCTTCGTGGGTTCTGCGCATATATAAACCCCAGGGCGTCGTCCCCTTATCTGTTCTGCGCCCTCCATGCTCCTGACGTCGTGCCTCGCCGCCCTCGCCCTCGCGGTGTCCGCCAGCGCGACCCAGCAGTTCTTCTCGGCTCAGTCTCCCGCCAACTTCCAGTCTTATGATGCCGGGCTGTTCACTCCTCTTGAGGACCTGAGCCTTCTCTCGAAGACCGATTTCACCACCCTCAGTCACCCTCTTTTCCCCAACTACAGCGTCCGCATCAAAAAATCCGACTTTTGTGATGAAACCGTCGCGTGCGTCCTTTGTGTTGATCCTACCTGCACAACCATCACACTGATAACTCCCCCAGTTCGTACACTGGTTACATCGACATCCAAGCTCGCCACTTTTTCTTTTACTTCTTCGAGAGTAGGAATGACCCCGCTACAGACGATATCATCTACTGGACCGCCGGAGGTCCTGGCTGTTCGTCTTCCCTGGAGCTATTCATGGAGTTCGGTGCGTGGCCTTCGGTATAGTATGCAAAACGACATTCCTAACAGCCCTTCCCAGGACCTTGCAGGGTGACGGATGTCAACACCACTACCTTCAACCCCTATTCCTGGAACGAGCGTGCCAACATCTTCTTCGTTGACCAGCCCGTCAATGTTGGGTTCTCGTACGCCGAGTTCGGCGAGGTGGTTGTGCGTATTTCGAGCGAATGGGAAAACAAGACTATGCTAACCCTTCTCCTCAGAGCACGACCACAGAGGCTGCGAAGGACATGGCAGCGTTTACCGCCATCTTCTTTGAGCATTTTAGCCAATTCAAAGGCCGTGCATTCCACGTGGGCGGAGCTTCATACGGCGTACGTTCGTTCTTTACCTAGAGCTGGAGGCCGCGCTCAGCAATTTGCTACGCCTCACAGGGTCGCTACATCCCAGTGTTTGCATCCGAAGTGTACGACCAAAATGCCAGGCTCATCGAAGCGGGCTTGACACCCATCAACCTCACCTCTATTTTGATTGGTAGGTGAATGCTCCGTCCAAACAGATTCTGCATATTCATCGGCACCCTTCTGTACAGGAAACGGATGCACTGACCCGGCCACCATGACTGCCTCGTATTACGACATGGCATGCAGACCGATGCCTGTGGATCCCATCCTCGACATCAGGTCCGTATAATGGGCGCTCCTGCACCCGTCCACTCTTCTGAACTCCTTCCTTCAAATTTCGCAGCACTTGTGTACGCATGAAACAAGCAGTGAGCCACTCACAATGCGAGTAGCGTGTTTCCCCCGTTGATGAGTCGCCGCAGGTCGGGCGCTGCGAGAAAATGATGAAAGAGTCGTGTGTGGACAAGTTTGAGGCTATCGGCTGCCAGGCTGCATCAGTATTCTGCGGTGCTGAGATCGAGGCACCTTTCGATGCGTCCGGTACGCTGTCCGATCCATTGCACCCTATCTCGCCACTCATCCAGTGTAGGTTACAACCCGTATGATATTAGCAAGCCCTGGTAAGTCTGTCATCATCCAACCCACGGCATGAGTATCTGATATTGACCCTCTCGAAGCGACGGCGTCGTCTCGGACAATCTCTGCTACCCGCTCTCCAAGTGCGTCTCTTCCTCTTCCTTTCGTTCCTTGCTGACGTTCCACAGGACAATTGAGAAATACCTCAGCCGTCCGGTCACCCGCGCGTCGCTCGGTGTTGACGCCGTGGTGCCAGAAGAGTTCCAGGTGTGCAATAACGACGTGAACAGCGCGTTCCACGTCTCGCACGACCACATGTTCCCGACGCAGTTCTATATCGCGGCGCTGCTCGAGCGCGGCATCCGCACGCTGCTCTACATCGGCGTGAACGACTGGATCTGCAACTGGGTGCGTGTATTGGGCTCGAGGCCTGGGGCGTCCGTGCTGATTGCGCTCGTTGGTAGGTCGGGAACGACCGCATGGTGCAGGGCATGGAGTGGACTGGGCAACAGGCGTTCGTCGACCAACCACTGCGGGAGTGGTCCGTTGACGGCCAGGTTGCGGGCCTCACGCGCAGTGCGGGGCCGCTGACCTTCTTGACTCTCGACAATGCCGGGCACATGGTGCGCTGCGTCTTGCACTGCTTACTCGTGGGGGATGCTGACGACTGGCGCTGCCGCAGCCCGCTTATGACACGCCAAAGGCCGCGCAGGTAATGCTGCAGCGCTGGCTTGCTGGGGAGGAAATGTAGGTGATGGTGTTGCTGTGCTGTGCGGGTCGAGGAATATTGTTCGGAGATGTAGTTGGTAAATAGGGCGCGTTCACTCGGCAACTTGCATTTGGTATGCTTTCATGCCAGCGCACAGTTATACTCTGCCAGATTGCACTTTGCTGGGATACTACAGCTCCATTCTCGGACAAATTGCACCCATTGCATCGTCTGTGTGCAGCACATTACTCGCGCATCAAATGGAGCCAGTATCTGAAACCCTCTCATCGAGCGGACCTGCAAGTACTTTCTCAGCGTATTGGGTAGCGCGTTACGATTCAGCATCAAGAAGTTACGGAGGGACTCTGAGGCGTCGTAATGTAGAGCCAACTGAACGACCGTAGTTACTGGATTAGGGAAACCAGCTACATATGCTATACGGTTTTTACCGATCCACCAGCTGCTTGCGATCCATCGCGGCTGAGAGCCACCAAGAGTGATGAACAGGGTCTACCTTAGCACTCGCCGCCGAGTAAATGTTCAGCAGGTATATCGCATCCCCCTCGACCCTCTGATTCGCCCACCCATATCGCGCTTTGTCATCTCGTGTGTCATCCCCGAGTCTCCCACCCAGAGCTGGCCGTTCCAGCTTGCACACATCGCGTCATGGCAGGCAGGGGCACCCTCACATTTTCTCACGACAGAAGTCCCGGCAGATACAAAAGCCATCGCAGACTAGCAAAACCATTCGTTATTTCAGAGTATTCCCCTCCACCATGGCAGAACAGAAAGCCCTCTACTTGACCGTCGCCAAGGGTCCCTTCGCAGTCGACACGGCCCCCATCCCGAAACCAGGTCCAGGGCAAGCCCTCATTAAGATCCATGCAACCGCGCTCAACCCCGTCGACTGGAAGATCCAAGCCTATGACTTCTTCGTAAAGCAGTATCCGACAATCCTGGGTGAAGATCTCGCAGGTACCGTTGAAGAGCTCGGGGAGGGCGTGACAAACTTGAAGTTGGGCGACCGCGTGTGCGTGGGCATATCTGACCAGAGTATCCAAGCAACTGAACATTCAGACCACAGTATTGCGGAGGCGTCCATGGGGTCACTTGCGACCGCGTCTTTCCAGCAATACGCACTCACAAATGCCGAGGTTACGGCCAAGGTTCGTCGATGCATAGAGTCTGCTTGATGTGATGGTCCTGAGCGCGTTATCGCCAAGATCCCCGACTCGATCTCCTTCGAGGAAGGGGCGTCCGTACCCCTAGGTCTTGCGACTGCGGCGGTGGGGCTTTATAGCAGAATCGGCGGTGCCGGGCTGTTCCCGCCTTGGGGAGAGGGCGGTCACGGGCTGTATAGTGGAAAGCCGTTCGTTGCGTTTGGGGGGGCTAGTTCGGTCGGCCAATTCGGTATGTGCCATAAAACGCAATCCACAGTGTCACAGCGCTCATAGTTCGTCTCGCGGTAGCCATCCAGCTGGCAAAGTTGTCTGGCTTCAGTCCGATCATCACCACTGCTTCCACGCATAACACGGAGTGGCTCGTCGGGATCGGCGCAACGCACGTTGTCGACCGTAATCTCTCTCCAGAGGCCATACGCGCGGAGGTTGCAAAGATCACGTCAGAGCCTATTGAGGTCATCTACGACGCAGTCTCGCTGCCCGACACGCAGAACGTTGCATACGATCTCCTCGCTCTAGGAGGGTGCCTCATAATTGACCTCGACCTGTCGGTCGACAAGGCGAAACAGACCGACGACAAGCGCGTCGAGCATGTGTATGGCAATATAAACATACCAAGAAACAAAGTCCTGGCCGTCGGTTTGATGAGCAAGCTAACTACTTACCTGGCGGAGGGCGCGATCAAGGTGGGCTTTCGCTTGATTATAGCATGGCTGTATGAATCCTGATGGCCATGTTTGTGCAGCCTAACCGCGTGGAGATTTTGCCAAATGGCTTAGAGGGCATCATTGGCGGTCTTGAGAAGCTGAGGCAGGGCGTGAGCAACTTGAAGCTGGTTGCGCACCCGCAGGAGACTGTTTGACAGTTTCCTCAACGTAAATTATAGAAGCTGGAATTTCTGTGTATTATAGTTCTGTGGCCATGGGGTGTATATCTGTAGTTCGTTGAGTCATCAGTCTGCGGCGTGGGTTTTGTGGCGAGCCTCTTCAGATCATCTCAATTATGTTGATAGGCATATGCTGCCATGCGCCGTAGCTCGTGCCCATCACCATCTTCTGTTGCCTTCACTTTCCCGTACACCTTCGACTATGACTGGAATAGCTCTTCGTCTCCGAGTCATGCATGTACTACGCTTCTCAGACCTGCGAGCTGCCAGAATCTAGTATCTCCATCTTTGGACGGCCTTGGAGGAGTTGCGGGTGCTAAATTGCATGCCAGTGTCGTGCGGGAAAACGACGCAAGTACCGGTGGTCTTGCAGGGACATTCAATCCGAAGCTGTACTTCGTCCAGAATCCCAGTAGAAAAATAACGGACAAGCAGGATACAAGAAGTCGCTTCCTGTTTTGCGAGAGCGGCCGTGGACGAGTGGTCCCAGTGAATGTCGATGGTGAGAGGAGACGAGCAACCGGCGCAACGTATCATTGACGCCGGGGCGTCTCCTCTCTCCTGAGCCTGCTCACCTCCTAGTCCCATGATTGTCACTTGGTCGTACAGGCTACTTGCTTAGTACCAAAAAAGCTCTCCGACACGCACGTGAAGATGCATGGGCCCATTAAAGTCTCTGGAGGATCCTTGAGCCACCTCGGGCGACACAAAATTTATTATACGACCTGCTGACCCGGCGTCGTCTGGTTTCTGCGTAAGCCGATGTTGTCGATGGGACAAGAATAGCTTGAAGACGAGCGATGATGAGTAGTCTTCATCTTACCAAGTAAGTGGACTTGGCCATTACGCATGGGGCATTTTCAAGGCGGCTACAATGCTGTGATGCACCCAGGGAGCGGCCAGGAACGTCCGGACAGTCAGATGAGTCTTTAGACAACTGTCAATTGAGCGGTCTAGTCCTTTTCTCGTGATGAACGCTCATCGCTACTCGTCTTATAAGTCTGTACGACGCGATGCCGTACCGCGCACTCATGCTCTGAAAAACGACGGGATGATATGTCGACGTACTCAGCGTTTTGTTTTATCTCTTGCAGCCATCTCCTCCCTTGCATTGGCCCAATCCTATCCGGACACAGACGTGGTGATCGTTTCTAATAACGATCTTAATCCTTCTAACCAGAATAGGGCCAGTGCACTGTATCTGAGGAGCGGTTTCTCCTGTTTAGAAGCGTACGAGGCCTGCGCCCAGCTCCAGGAGACTCTCCTACCGGAACCAGGAAGCATAGGTCTTAGTGCAGAAGATCTCTCCGACGTTCTCACCTCAAACAGGCATGGCGCGTCCCTGCAAGCGTCACAGCAGATATGGATCGCGGGGAACAGTAAGTGTATCGTCAGTTACATTCGTATGGAGATAAATATTTTACAAAGCGGTTGGATCCTGTGTGGTCTTCACTCCGAGTAACCGACGCTCGCAAGCAGGGCTTGAGTCTGAGCGCCTCCCCGTACTCTGCACAAACTCTGCACCCCTCACTCGATCTAATGTTACTTCCTACGACACGACACGCCAAATTCGAGTATCTACTCCTTCTGCAGGTGTGCTCACAGGGTTCCGGGACAAGTTCAGCTTTCGATTCCTCGGGGTACAATATGCCGAGTCCACTGCAGGTGCCAACAGGTTTCACCCCCCCACAGCCGTAACTATCTCGTCTGATACCTCAAGATCTGCGCTTGCATATGGTTCAGTGTGCGCTCAGGTATGTCAATCGTTTCAGATATCCCACCATGACACTGAAGGCCACGTAACAAAGCCCCCCGACGCAGACAACGGCCATCTGTTGCATACAGATGAAGATTGCATGTATTTGAACGTGTTCTCCCCTATCGTTAACTCTGCCACAATCAGTGACCAGGACACCCCCAAATTACCCGTAATGTTCTTCAGTCAGTGGACGCATGTAGATCTTGACACCCGTGATCTGATCTTAGCCTGTTTAATTAATCAGTTCACGGAGGTGGTCTCAACACTGGAGACAGCGGTCCATTCCCATACAACATGACCACGAGCGGTTTCGTTGGTAACTCGGTCTCTAATATCTACGATGGAACAAATGTGGTCTCCTATGGCGGCGTCGTTCTTGTCACGATCAACTACCGTCTAACAGCCTTCGGCTGGTTCAATGCATCTAATGCCGCATTGAAGGACACATTACTCGCCCTCCATTGGGTCCAAGATAACATAGAAGCTTTCGGGGGAGATGTACGTATGCGGTATATTGCAGTAGTATATATACTAATTCGCGATTCCAGCCAACGAAAGTCCTCGTGTTCGGCGAGTCTGCCGGCGGTATAATGACAAGATATTTGCTTGGCACCAACCCTGTATATACGGAAGGCCTATTTAGTAAGCTGCTTAGAGTCAATCGAAGGCCACATTGTAATATTGTTCCTTTAGGTGCTGCCGTACTAGAGTCCGATGTTCCCATCATCGATATATACCTCTCTCCGAAACTAGCGTTGGAACCTTCGCTAGAGCTCGCGAAATATGTTAGTTGTGCCGACAATTCGTCGACCACATTTACAAATTCCATGGCCTCCTGCGTTCAAGGCCTACCCGCGGATGTCATTGCAATGGCATCATATAATTTAGGCATCTCGTGGGATATCGCGATTGATGGCGACTACATCCTCACCGATATTGTTTCTAGTATCGAGGATGGCGTGTACGCGCGGGTTCCAACAATATGGGCGAGCAACAAGTGCGAGTTGTGCTACATGCTACCGCCCACGATCTCCCCCAACTCGTCTGCGTCTGTCTTCCCTGAAAGCCTCTCTCTTTATTTCAACACGACGCAGGCCGAGCGCATTCTCAACGCCACGGACCTGTATCCTTACGAGACCGCACCATCTTCAGACGGAATTTCGGGCGCTGTGCTCACTCTAGCCCAGTTGCTCACCGACTACGTTGTGCACTGCCCTATGGCATACCTCTCCTCGCTCGAGACCACCGCGCCGAGACCCAGCAATGCCTACAAGGTCCTGTTCGCAACTGGCCTTGGCTCGCCACTCACGCCCAACCCCGCGACGTGCCCCGGCCAGGTGTGCCACGGAGATGAGCTTTACTGGGTTTTCGCGACGGCGGAGACGGATGGGCTGTACCAGCCGCTGACGGAGAGTGCTGTGCTCACAACGCGTGAGGTTGTGAGCCGGTGGACGGCGCTGGCGTGGGAGGGAACGCCAAATTATGAGGGGGCGGCGGTGGAGTGGCCGCTGTACAGGGACAATAATGAGGTGGTCATCGCTGTTGGTGCGGCGGAGTCCATCCAGCCGTATCGGGAAGCCCAGTGCGATTTTATACTGAGCCAGATAGGCTTGGTCTTCGGAGAAGAGTAAGGTGCTTTGTGAGTGCGACTAATTGTGTACATATCTATACCAGATTTGATTCCCAAAGATCAGAGGTATCTACACAGACAGAAAGTACGTCTTTCGACGAATAACCAAGTAGGGCTACTGAGTCAGTCGGAGAATGTGGTTGCCCAGGACGGACACATTTTTGCCGAATGTGGGACGACATTGCCACGAACCTTGGCATGGCGGTAACGCCTTCCCGAAACTACTAGGCCGACCACAGCGAGGCAGGATGTCCTAAATCCAGATGCAAAGGAGGCTACGAGTGACTTCAGCAATACATGGCAACATTTCACACATTGCGACAAGCAAGCGTGGTCTAGATCGATCCGTTCGTATTCCAATACAGGCTGACGACATTTGGTAAGAGAGATCCAGCCTAGTCATTCTGCAAGGCGTTCAATGATGGGGACGCGGATATCTCGTCAGTCTTCGGTGAGTTCGCGTAGGCGAAAACAGTGCCTCAAGCTATCCAGCTAGCGAGACAAAGCTCGCGCTCAAGTAATTGGAGCTTGCGTGCAAGAAGTCGAGAAGCATTCAGTTCGTTAACCGGTGATGGACTGAGCATGCACGTATGTGGTATGCCCACTCCTTGTATGGAGCCTGGATGCATGCATGTCTTTGTCGTCGAACTCGTAATCGTCGAACTCACCGAGTTCGCTGGTAAGACGGCGAACCGCCGTGGACGACTCGGGACTCGCAGGGCAAGATACTTAGCACCTGTCGATCAGCACCAACTTGTTGCCGCCACTGGCAGCCTCAGTGGCAGGCCTCCCTAGTATATGCGGCTGGACACGTCGAATACACCTCGCATACAGCTCAATGCCTGGGAGAGGCTATGAAGTGGCAACAAGATGACAAGTGTGTGGCTTGGGCGACAAGATAGAAACGTGACTCATTGTGGAAAGTAGCGTGATTTTAAACGCGAAAAGCGTTTGCAACTCAATTCGTCTTGGCAGCTATACCCTCTTCGTAAAGTATGCTCAGTGTGCCGGCACCTCCAGAGTGCGAGCTCCCAAATCCACGCTGAAAATCTATCCGCGCGAGCCCCCCTTTTTTTGCATCAATTGCCTTGTATTGATAATTTGATAGGCCCAAGATGGCTGCCGTAGACCACCTTCGAAACACGAGCATTTTTCAGACCAAATTCCCCTTGAACAGTCTACCTGTACTCATGCAGATGCACATTGGACTCGACGGGCATTCTATTCTTTCTAATATCATGTGTTGTCACCATTCTTAACTCGGAGGTCCATCACTTCGCATGACAGTGCATACATCATGTCTCCCCTTCGCGGAGGGGTTGGAGATACAGTGAGCATCGCCGAGGTGAGAAGACATGAATCAAACTATACAAAACCCACCGGTGTGTTTCGTTAGCCGATTTCTGGGGAGGAGCTTGCGAAAGGGATTCTAAGCTGTCGTAGATGGGCTAGAATCTAAGGCGGAAAAGCTCGAACAATAAGCTCGACTAGCTTGTATAACGATACCCGCTCGTGACATCTATTCTATTGAAATGAAACTCTACCAGCCCCTTCGAACTTAACGGATTGATTCAGGTCGACTGTCGCTCACGCCACGAATTCAGACTGGATAGTAATTCAGCCATAGTGAGTTTTTTTTGTTCATTTTCCAAACACGCGGCCTCGAGACTACCGTGGTATCATGCGACATGGCATCTCATCATTACTATCAACTAAACCTTCCCTTGACTTCTGATCATCTTTCAGCTTCTTATCTCAGCGATGAGCTCATGATCGTATAATATGGAGGGACGAACACTCATATGGTGTCGTTATATAGACTGAGAATACGTAGGTGACACAGGCGCAGCAATTTCTGCCTCTTCAGAGCCCGGTGACTCCGGCGTGCACCCCCCGACACTGCCACACACATTACATCGATATCAGACACTGCAACTGAACTAAAATCGAATACGTACTCCCTAAGAGCCAGTGTCTCAGGGGCCATTTCTCTGTCTTCAGTCTGCTCTACGAAGAGTCCAGCTGCGAGAGGGTTTTCAGAAATGTAAGTTACACTGTCGTGTATGGAGGAATTATCATTCTCCTCTTCGAAATAATCACCGGTTAGGATGTCGTCCAAGGGGGCGCCGAAGTTGCCTGCAATCCTATGAGAAAAGCGAACGGAAGAGAATCGGGATGTCTTAGAGGCATATGTAGCGGAATATTTGCTAATACAGTTATCTTGTGTGTCAGAGTCGGAGAAATACACGTTGCGCAGATTAAGGAAGAAGCGCGATGTTAATACTGAACCCAACCTAGGAGATGCGTGGTCAGGTTCACGCGTGCGAGTAGGTAGAAGACAAACGGGATAACTACGCTTGTGCAGGGATTACCGCGTTGTTGAACAACTATAGCTCAAGATGAGTGATGGGTAGTGATTCAACAGTCAAAAAAGCATACCTGAGATTGAACTGTAATCAGATTGGCGCCATTCAATGCTAGTAACGACCTATGGGGTGCTTGTTCAGATCTAACACCGACAATAGACACAGGGGACAAACAGAAAATAGACAGTTCCTAAAGAAAGGTCTAGCTCAGCAATCATCTTTGCAGAGCAGCAGAACACGGACCATCTCTCTGAATAAGGCTCGAGATACTTCCTTTCCCATGAGCAGAAGTAACGGCTCTTTGTATCTCTGCTGTCTTGAGCCAAGTGAGAATGAGAACGATACCCTGAAGGCATATATCATAGACATAATATAATATTGATACTATATGTATACCAGTCAGCTGAATATCTGGTTAAAGTACTCATTCAGCTCACGGCTGTAATGAATTATCAGCTACAGTCCCATTACGATCGGACTAACGGACACTGACATTCTGTACTTCGATAAACTCAGATTCCGCAACGCACACCCAACGAGGGGCAGAGGGGCAGCTACAGCTTGGCGTGTCGTAAAGTAAGACTGGTCGACCGGTATCGAGATGCGGTTCATCGTGAAAAATACAGAAGAAACTAACGATCTGGACCGCGGGTGATACCAACCCCAGTAACATAATGGTAATTAGCATACGATGGTTCTTGTTCCAGATGGCCCATAATCGCAGTGACGTGAGGACTGAACTCATTAGCCTCAGAGAGCAGTAACGGGTTGCAATCACACGCACCAGCAAGGACTATATCCAACATGATTGAAATGGCCTGCGTAGCGCGCTCCAGATTGACACAGCTGGTGTGGATTAGTAGGCCGCTTTTCAGAAGATTAAACAAGTGCATACGTCTACATATAAAAAGCAGGAAAAGGGGCAGGAAAAAATAAGTGCTTGGCAATGGCCAATAAAGTATGAGAGATCGAAACATACTACATCATCAGCAACTCGTTGTGGCAGGTATTGCCAAGGCAGAATCAAAAGCAAGTTGAGAATATTACTGACGATGTTGAGATAACGATTGAGAAAGAAAAGAATTGTTGCACCGGAAAGTTTGCGTCTCCATATACAATGCACTTCTTGGGCGAAAGTTAAAAAGAAATCATACAGAAGAAGCGCTATGTAGAGGTTGAGTAGATTGAGAGTGTACAAGGACGAAAGACTCACTTGTGGCGGCAACCACAAAACTATACGACCAAAACCTAACATTTTGCTAGTTCATATTCAAATGACGAGGACAAAAACATACTTACATATCAGTGACGTCGGCCTCCACCAGCCTGAGCGCAGGAAACGTGGTATTTGAGTAGGCCTGCGACATACTGCCAGAGTACTACGCAGCACAGAGAGAAGTGAGTGCACAGTTCTGAGCAACATTGAAGATGTGCGTAATAAGGTAAATTTCCATCGTTCCGACGGTTGTTCGCCAGGACCATTTGATGGTAACATCTGATAGCATGCCACGGCCAGCTGACGGTTACATCGAACAGTAAGTATGCCATGCTGTCTGATGTAACCATTAGTTACTCGAAGTGCGCCAGGCGCTGGCGCTAGACCTCGCGCAATATGGAGACTGTTTCACCACTGACACTGCTCGTGTTGGTTGGAAATGTAGTTTACACGGACTAGTATGTTCATTAGATTAATGCTGCATATATATATTCGCGTGAAATGTTGGCGTACTGATTTCACTATTCGATCTTTGTGAAGTCAGTGCGACAGCTACGGGCGTTTGTTTCTTATTTAGGCAACACATCCCCCCAAAACAGCTGTGGACTATGTAATGATGACGAATCGTGGATATGAAGGAGATCGATGCGAAATCGCGTTCGCGGCCATGGGTAGGATAAGGCAAAAGCACAGCAAATCCCACGACATTATGTATCCAATTTCCATCCTAAGGTGACAAAATGGATACCGAATTATGCCCGTGGTGAGACCTCTCTGCGCTCGGTGACTAGTAGCCTTCATGTAAGGTCGCCACATCAATCACATAGCCCTTGTCACACAGTCCCACTCGTGCTGTGCGTCGAGCGATCATTCAAACATGTCATATAACGACGTCTATGAGATCGATTACAAGCATTTGTGATAAACAGGTGATCATTGCGTGCCTAGCTGTGGGTCCAGTTGTTTGGGCCAATGGAAAGCATCGGGCGAATTACGAGCTCAAGGAACGCAGTGATGGAGAAGTATGTTGAAATCATGCCATCTTGAACAATAAGTGCCTGGGTCAAGGCTAAGACTTGCATGCATATTGTTCAGTGACGCAGCGCTCAGGCATTACAGATCGCTAGGGGTCACACAGTTCGTACCACTTGTTAATTTTTTATTCGTGCAGTGGATACATTCTCATTTTTTTCAGAGTCCAGTCTGTGTTCAATGACAGGCTGGGTCGAACTGCTGTGACATTAAGAATAGACTTACCATACATGCAGTTTGGACTCGCAAAATCGTCTCTCTTTTACCGCCATCATGCCAATGCTAGCTACAACCCCTTGTCCCTTTCTATTCGATTTGATTCTCCTTTATTTTCAACACTTCGCACGGTGCGCCGTTACATGAGTGCGTGATGCAGTGATCAAGAATCATGCATAGAGCACACTGCGGGAAAGGTCGAAGGGAAAACATTGGTCGCGACTCGCTGGAGACAGCATTTCCCGATTACGTTCGGAGCTCGAATATGTTAGTCGGACATTGCGGTAACATCCATCGAACATGAATTCTCAACCAAGCAACAGCTGCCGAGCACCCATGTTTGGCAGTCGGATGCTCCTAACGTTTAAGCTCCGAACACAATGAAAGCTCGCTGTCTCCTGCGAGGTGTGTTCGACGCATGTCTGCTACTTGACCTCTGGATATTACCCGCGGTGGAAGCTGCTGATCATGTCATGACGATGTTGAACTTAATCCAACAAGTACTGTACATGAGTGAATTTTCTACACTGAGATGCGTATTAAACACTTGATTTACTGTTTTTTGACTTGGATACTGTAGCTTTTGTGATGGTTACCAGATAGCATCTCAGCCAACTATTTCGTCACTGCCAACACCATATTGGCTCGGGCTTGAGGGCACTTGTGACAGCGTGTTAAACAAGATATTCTGACATCTCCACCCAAACCATCCGTACAACAGTACACGCACCCAAACGGCTCTGGCACAATGTGCTTCTGCCAATCACGCCTTCTCGCATTACGCTCTGCAACAACTAAGGTGAGAGGTAGATGACGAACGTATTGCATTTCAGATCCTCCTATGGCTCTCTGTATTGACCACTGCAATGTGTTTGTTTGTTCCGATACTAGAGCGACGCGAGATCTGCCCTCAAAAGTTAATATGCTCGAACACTGTTGGCCATCTGATCAATATAGTCGGTGCTCACCGCCACGGGCAACTTGGAAGTAAATGCAGGTTTCGGGGGCCTTGCTTCCGACCTTAGCTTGGAGATTGTCAATGCAAGCAAGAAGCACTCCGGCATCATGTCTCTACGAATACCGTGTGCTATCGCCATATCTTCGCTCACATCTAGATTTGGGAACATTGAGACAAGCCAACCAGAGAGCCTAGCAATATTCCCTCTCTGAAAACCAATGTCTATGTATCGAAGCCGGTGTGAGGCGACTTTGACCAAAGTCGGGTTTGGTGCGGAAAAATCGACGTGTGGCAAGGATAGATGTTCAAGTTGTGGCCACAGTGATATCAGTTTATATAGAGTGTCAATATCAGCGGAATACCGGATGAAGAAGTGGTCGAAGCTGAATTTAGTCAACAACGGCCAGGCGTGAGCCAGATCTTCGAGAACTGCAATTGGATTAGCACGGAAATTGTGGCTAAACCGAAATTCCCGCAACGAGGACAAGCTTTGAAGAGGGCGAAGAATTTTGAGTAACCGCACGAGTGGTCTGGGTTTAATGTTGACTTGCATCCGCAGGTTCAGAACACATAGGGATGCGGAGTATCTCCGTGATACAATCGCCAAGTAAGTCGCCCAATCAGATAATAAACCGTTGCACCCGTCCCAGTTATCTACTTGCTGAAGTAAGGGTGCATGGCAATACTGCAATAAATGAGCCATGGCCGCGACATTTCCTTGAAGTTTTAGCTTGCGCAGAGAATATAGGGACTCAGGTTTTTGTATTTTCTCCATAACGTCTCCAAGAATGATATCCAGATCGACCAATTCAGTCAGATATGCGAGAGCACGAAGCAAGGAAGGATCGACGGGAACCAGCGGGATGTGTGCCACACGGAGATGCTTGAAGGACGCGACAAACAGTGGTGCATAGCACGGCCTTCCATGGAGTTGAAAGTCCCTTAATAGGGGCGACCGAGCTGGAATCTCCACCAAGGCACAGTCGGAGTCCTCTGCGACGTTCAAGACAAGGCTGCGAAGCGTAGGGCTTAAAAAGGGGAGGATTCGTTGGTCAACGGGTGTTTTTGTCCAGGACAGAGCACACAATCTAGAAAAAAGGAAGCCTCCATTATGGCTTGCGATGTAGTCCAGTATGTCCGTAGGCATAGAAAGCGCCGTAGCACAGTCGACGTCTAATTGGCGAATGCGATCTGCATAAAAACGAAAGCGCGACATCTCGCTGGGGAGAATTTTGCGTTGCAGTTGCTGGAGAAAAAAGGCGAGGATATCAGAATTCATTCGCGCAAGTGTTCGGGTGCTGAAAACATACAAATTTGATCGCCTGTCTGAGGTCTGATCCTTTTGCGCCTAGATCCCGCACGTCTTCGTGGTGATATTCATGATCGAGTTCCACAAATGAAGGCAGAACACGAAAAGCTGGGAGGACATCATCCATATGTGACCAAAGGCGATTGAGTGCATGGTGGGAGAAAGCCTTATTAACAAAGGTCAAAGACAACAAAATGCGCCTGGAGTCCGGGCTGGACTCTTCCTGCTGCAGCACATTTTGGACAATACAGGCAAGGATGTCATGGCATTCTAGTATCCTATGGGAGCCACGAGTAGGAGTGGGCTCATGGGAGGTCACCATCTGGAGGTAGAATATATGATCGGTGGAGAGTAGTTCAACAGTAACCGGTATTTATATTCTGACGGTGGCCAAAATCAACTACCGACAAAGAACAGCCTGAAATTGGAAAAGCGTTCAGCCACAGTGCCGATGCGACCAGTGCCCACTGGAACGCGGTGGAAGACATGAAGTACACACAGTAATTTTCATGGTGACATCGAAAAGCCAGTGATAGATATATCTTCGACGCCGATAGGAGGCCGCATACTTGCGTAAAATATTAAAGACGTACGCGAAGGAGCTCGAGATTGTCGCAAGTCGACGCGTACCGTCGATGGTGACCGCTGTTGCGGATGCGATAAGATGCGGCAGACGCTCGAGTCGATGAGATAATCGCGTGTTCAGCCTTGCGGTTCAAATCAAATGTTCAAGTTGTTCGCGCGCTCTTTCCACTCCTCTCATCTCCAGTGCTCATTAACGTTCTTATTCTGACTCTTGCTTTTGATGTCTGCTGACTCTGGCGTGCACCTTACAACCTCTCGTATTAGCCGTGTCTTCAGACCTCTCCGAGCCAAATGCATCACCCTGGCAGAATTCTTCCCTATTGCCCCAGTGCGAAGGCATACGCTGGTGTCGGTCACTTATGCTAACAAAACGCGCCCCGCGTCCCGATCTACGCCTATAGAACACGACACACCACCCTTAGCTGTCCTACAGCCACCTGAGACCCTTGGATCCCGCATTCACCTTGATAGAACCAGTGTAGAGAACCTGCAGCTGTCAAGGAAGATTTACGAGGTTAGAGACGCGTTTCGGAATCTCGTACAGGTTGCACTTGGACCCGGAAATGGCCATAAGCCAAATAGTACGCGTATCATGAGCCTTGCAGCGATGTGCTCTGTTGTTGTAGGTGAACATATACAGTCCGAACTTCGTGCATGCGAGGAAGATGAGTTGGTTGAGGATGAAAACGCGTCCGCCAAACTCATGGATGAGTTGTACGAGGCCGTTCCACCGCATTATCGCAGGTGAGACAATCATTTCACTCAGCCGTCTGGCCCCCTTTCACCTCCCTTTTTGTTAGATATGCCGTCGTCTCGCACGCACTTTCCCTAACACTCGACCTCTGCCCTCACCACCCCACCCTTCTCACTGCTCTTCTAGATGTGTGTCTTGGCTTTGGTCTCATCCCTGAATCGCATCACGTTTTACGCGCTCTT